AAAAAAATATTATAAGTATTACAAAGGGTATTACATATGTGTCCTTCCCCCCCCCTTGACAATCCCCTGCCCTCCCTTACCCCCCAGTGTCTTATGTCCATTGGTTTTGCTTATATGCATGCATACAAGTCCTTCGGTTGATCTCTTACTCCCCTCCCTTCTGCCCCCCAACCCTCTCTGGCCTTCCCGCTGCAGTTTGACAATCTGTTTGAGGCAGCTCTGCCTCTGTATCTATTATTGTTCAAAAGTTTATAATGGTCTCTATTATCCATGAATGAGTGAGATCATGTGGTATTTTTCCTTCATTGACTGGCTTATTTCACTTAGCATAATGCTCTCCAGTTCCATCCATGCTGTTGCAAATGGTAAGAGTTCCTTCTTTTTTACAGCAGCATAGTATTCCATCGTGTAGATGTACCACAGTTTTCTAATCCATTCATCTACTGATGGGCACTTAGGCTGTTTCCAAATCTTAGCTATGGTGAATTGTGCTGCTATGAACATAGGGGTGCATATATCCTTTCTGATTGGTGTTTTTGGTTTCTTGGGATATATTCCTAGAAGTGGGATCACAGGGTCAAATGGGAGTTCCATTTCCAGTTTTTTGAGGAAACTCCATACTGTCTTCCATAGTGGCTGCACCAGTCTGCATTCCCACCAGCAGTGCACAAGTGTTCCTTTTTCTCCACATCCTCTCCAGCACTTGTCGTTTGTTGATTTGTTGATGATAGCCATTCTGACAGGTGTGAGATGGTACCTCATTGTTGTTTTGATTTGCATCTCTCGGATGATTAGTGACTTTGAGCATGTTTTCATATGTCTCTTGGCTTTCTGAATGTCCTCTTTTGAAAGGTGTCTATTTAGGTCCTTTGCCCATTTTTTGATTGGATTGTTTATCTTCCTTTTGTTAAGTTGTATGAGTTCCCTATAAATGTTGGAGATTAGGCCCTTATCAGATATAATGTTGGCAAATATGTTCTCCCATGTAGTGGGCTTTCTTGTTGTTTTGTTGATGGTTTCTTTTGCTGTGCAGAAACTTTTTATTTTGATGTAGTCCCATTTGTTTATTTTCTCTTTAGTTTCCAATGCCCTAGGATCTGTATCGGTGAAGAAATTGCTTCGGCATATGTCTGAGATTTTGTTGCCTTTGGATTCTTCTAGTATTTTTATGGTTTCCGGTCGTATATTTAAGTCCTTTATCCATTTTGAGTTTATTTTTGTGTATGGTGTAAGTTGGTGGTCTAGTTTCATTTTCTTGCATGTATCTGTCCAATTTTCCCAACACCATTTATTGAAGAGACTACCTTGGCTCCATTGTATGTTCTTGCCTCCTTTGTCAAATATTAATTGAGCATATTGGTTCGGGCTGATTTCTGGGGTCTCTATTCTATTCCATTGATCTATATGTCTGTTCTTGTGCCAGTACCAGGCAGTTTTGAGAACAGTGGCTTTGTAATACAGCTTGATATCTGGTATTGAGATCCCACCTACTTTGTTCTTTCTCAGGATTGCTGCAGCTATTCGGGGTCTTTTTTTATTCCAGATGAATTTTTGGAGAGTTCGTTCTAGATCTGTGAAGTAGGTCTTTTGGCCTCTTTTGAATGAAGAAATCCGTAATGACAAGAAGCTTTTCAATTTATTAATTTATTAATGCTTTTAAATATATTTATTTTTATTAACCACAGAAGTATTCATTAAGTAAAAAATATTGTTAAAAAAATCTAGTGAGAGACATTTCTCAGTCTTCTATACAGCGTGTGTGTACAGACTTTATGGCACACCTTCGCACTTGGCGGGGAACTCCAAGAGATGGTGTTATTTGATGGAGGAGCAATAGAGGTTCTTCTCACTTGAAACTTAGGTGTCAGAAACTTTTGTCGACTGAAAGTATTTTATCTTTGAATATGTGATACAGGTCAGCATAGAACTTTGAAGAATAGTAAAGCACTTAAGAAATGCTTTCAATCATTTAAAAATGTACCATAATGTTTCACTTATATGTGGAATCTAAGAAAACAAATGAACAAAACAAAAAAAGACTCATGGAAAGAGAAACCAAAGTGGTGGTTACCAGAAGGGAGTGGGTGAGGGGATGAGTGAAGAAGGTGAAGGGTAATATTGTGATCAATTTGCATAGTGACAGGTGATTACTAGAGTTGGTGGATGATCACACTGTGAGGCATAAACATGTCAAATCACACCTGAAACTAATATTGTATGCCAACTATGCTTAAATTAAAAAATTTAAAAAAGTGTATAGTTTAAAAAATTGTATATTGTGTTGAATAATGTGCCTCACCCCCCAAATTTTGCCCACCCAGAGCCTCAAATGTGACTTTATTTGATATGAGGGGCTTTGCAGACGTAATTAGTTAAGATGAGGTCATGCTGGATTACAATAGGTCCTAAATCAAATATGTGTGATGTCCTTGTAAGAAGGTACGTGAGAAAACACACACACACACACACACACACACACACACACACACGGAAGATGGTCATGTACAGGTGTAGCAGAATTGGAGTAATGTTGCCACAGGCCAAAGGAACCACCAGAAGCTGGAATAGGCCAGGAAGGGTTCTTCTCTAGGACTTCGGAGGGAGCATGCCCTCCCAATACCTTGACTTTGGACTTTTGGTCTCTAGGACTGTGAGACAATATATTTCTGTTGTTTTAAGCCACCTACTTTGAGGTCCTTTGTTAAGGCGGCCTTAGGAAACTAATACAATTAGAAAATCGTATTTTACCTCTGACTACTGGTTTAGAGCCAGGGTAGTGGAGTTGAAACTTTTCTGCTGTGGAAATCTTTGCTGAAACGAAATTTTCAGCAGAGGTACAAAAATTTATGGCACAGGTGGAATTCTCTGATTAAAGGTGGAGCGGCATGGCTAAACTTTCCAGATTAGCATCTCCCTGCCTTCTGTCCCTCTGCTTTCTGTTCTGCAGACCACAGATGCAGAACCACCGCACCAGCCTAACTACTTCCTGTTTCCCCTGCGCGCACTGGTTAGAGGCCTAGGACTAAGGCACATGGAGCGCCTTTCCCTGGAGCTGGAATGGAGAGGCAGGGCAGTCAGCATTTTTTCCCTTGGTGAATTTGTTACCCTCTGGGATCTGGAAAGGATTCTGGAGGGTAACCCACCTCTCTTGAATTGGGTGCCAGCATGCAGATGATAGCTGATGTTTACTGAGGACTTGCCAGGTGCTGTTCAGAAGCACACGGGCAAGGCCAGGTGATCTGCGTGCTTGCTGATGTGTACATCTCAAGTGTTGTCTCCATATTCAGCATCAGGCTACGCTGAGTCCCTGGGTGATGCCCTCCCCGTGCGTCCTAAGTGCTGCTTGTGCTGGGGGTTGAGGCCTTACTCTGTTCACGCCTGTCCATGTGGATTCCATCCTTCAGCTTCCACAGACATTGTCGACCTTCTTTCTGAGTTCTTGTGATCCCTCTTTTTGCCCCCAATTATTGCCCATGTCCTCTTTGAACGATAGTCCAAATATATCCAGGCAACCTGCTTGGTGGAAGGAACTGATGTTGGTTAAACTGTTGGTGAGCTGGTGAACAAAGCACAGACTCAGAGTGATGATGCGGATGAACTGAGCATACGGGTAAGTACGCTCCAGGCCTCTGTCCTTTCCTAACGAGCAGGCTGGGCTGGGGGTGGGTCAGAAGCTGGTGTGCATGTGGTAAAGCAGCCACTTCTAAATCTTTCCAAGAGAAACAGCCTATTCGCAGGGAGCGGCCTCTGCCAGCTGCTGCCTAGAAACAGGAGGCCGTGGGCTCGGGGACTTTCTGGGCTTTTCAGATCCCTGCCCAGCTGCCACTGAGTACCACTGCTTTTGAGGACTGATTTTAATAAAAAAAAAATATTTTTGGAACTTCTGAAAAGGACTAATTGCATAAAATATTATACCCTACTTCATCAAATCTTAAAAGCCATTGAGGGTAAAGTTCACTATTATTTTACATACCACTAAAATAATAAAAAAATGGCCAATGAAGGTATATTCCATTGCATGGGAGGGGTTAAAGTGTGAAAACATTTGTGGGTGAGTGTGTGGTGCTTCTGCGACCGTGACTGCCAAAGCTGCAGAGGGAACCGGTCATCGCCCCTCACAGGCCCGCGGAGCTGTGGCTCCTGTTGGTGTTGGCAGGTCTGGCGCACAAATCTAATGCTCCTTTCCTTTATCAGGTTCTGTTGTTGTATTATTGAAATTGGACAGCTAGTACATTTTATCTCTTTCCTTTTTATTTCCACTGAGTACATTTTATAGAACCTCTTTGCCGCTGGCAGCCTGTAAGGAGAGTGAGTGTGAGATGTTAGTTTTAGGAGCCGTCAGACTAAGTCCAGTTTTCAGGCTCCTGACTCAGGACTCAGGTTGTCTTCAAGCCCCCCCCCCCTCCCCCGCCCCTCCCGCTTTCTTCGCAGAGATGAAGTTTCACAGTCAGTAATATTTGGAGCTTAGGAATCCGTTAAAATGCTGTTGTGGGGAATGGGCAGTTCACTTTGCATTGTGGTGATTTGAATTTTCCATGTTTACTTTCAGGAAGGGGCCAGGTGTCCAGTCCGCTGCAGCCAGTACCCCTCTGAGGAAGCATGCCCCGTGCGAGAGGCACCGCAGGAGGACCTCCTCTCACTGCCCTGTGCGTCTGGACAGGTGAGGAGGAGTCGTCTGCCACTTTTTTGGGAGGCTATCGGGATGGAGTTATTAGAGCAAGTTATAAGCTGCATACACCAAGCTGTTATTCTGAGCTCTCTAACAATAGAACTGTGTAGGAAGAATATAACCCAGAGAGTTTGATATGAGTCAGCAGCCTGTCTCCACCACCATTATTAGACTAGTTCTATGAAGCTAAACTTCTAAAAGTGATAAGTTGATTTAATTTTCCTTTTAAAAAATATTTTCGGAACTTCTGAAAAGAAAGCCTGTTCTTTAAAATTATTCACTTTCCAATTGCTATAGACCCTTGAAAAAGAAGAAGATTAAAGTGTCTTCCTCTAACTCACAGGTGGGGAATGTTTGGCCCGAGGACTGTATAAGGCCCACGAAATCATTTGGTCTGGCCCTGTCAAGGCATTAGGAGTGAGTTAATTGAATGTTTGACCAAATATAGGAGGGTAATTTTTAAGTTGATAATTTTGTATGTCCTGCAAATGATGTTATAAATATCCAGCCCTGGCTGGTTTGGCTCAGCAGATAGAGTGTCAGCCTGTGGACGGAAGGGTCCCGGGTTCGATTCCGGTCAAGGGCACATGCCTGGGTCGAAGGCTCGATCCCCATTAGGGGGCGTGCAGGAGGCAGCCAATCCATGATTCTTTCTCATTGATGATGTTTCTATCTATCTCCCTCCCTCTCCCTTCCTCTCTGAAATCAATAAAAATGTATTTAAAAAAATAAAAATAAATATCCAAATGTGTCTTGGCAGAAAAAAGGTTCCGTACCCCTGCTCTAAATGTTCAGGAAGTCTCTGAATTTTTTAGCTTTCAGGATTTTGGGAACCCATTTTGCCACAGCAGGATTCTATACTGTGGCCTCAGCAACGAGATCTGTGGACCTTTTTTTTAAAATTGCAATTTGAAATTGATGCTGAGATGCCTGTGGATTCATGCTGTTCTGAGATTTATGGAGTGCTAGCTATATGCTAAGTGTAGTGTGGAGCCCTGAAGGCTTGGAATTATCACAGACATTTTACAGTGGAGGGAGTGAAGCTCACATAGTCTACAAATGACAGAATTCAGATTAAAACATAAGTTGTCTGATTTCAAGTTTTTGGTTGTTAGTACTATTATCATAACTAGCTCACTAACAGGGTTCATACTTTTAGTGTGTTTTTAAAAAGAAATGAAAAGCCAAAAAGTAAAAAGCATTAAGGATATCAATTCCAGCTTCAAACCCTACACTCTGGGAATAGAATCTGTCATACTATATCTGATGTAGTAATAGAACAAAGATTCATTCAGTTACTCCTCTTTTCTCTGAGGATCTACCTCATTCTTTCCCAGTGTTATCAAAATTTTAGGAGGGATTGTTTCCCTATAAAACATTTGGAAACCTGGCTTTCATCATAATTTAAGTGTTTAAAATAGTTAAAATCATAATTAGAGAGTATGGGCAAGCCCTTTTAAACTGGCCAGAGGGTTTTGCTCCTCCAATCCTTTATCCCAAGACACCCCCTGCCCATCTTCCAGTCCAGTACAATCTCCTGTAGCTCCCTTTGCCAAAGGTCACGGCCAGTGCTTTCTAGGCACTTACAGGGGTTTGTAGAACCCTAAGGTCATAGAAACACAGGGGATATTGAGGATGCATCTCAGTGTCATATTTACATGTCATATAAATATCTCAGTGTCATATTTACAGGACATATAAATGAAAAAGAAAAGGACACTTGAGAAAACCTTAGGGGGCTTGGTGTTTCCCTGAAGCCCAGAGCAAGCAGTTGCAAGCTGAGGACCTGCAGAGAAGGGGGATGCTCTATTCCAGCAGAGTTCAGTTGTAAATGCGTTGATATTTCCTATTTCACTTACAGTTTTTGTTTTGTTTTATTTATTTACTGGAGGCCCAGTGCACGAAATTCATGTACTCGGGGGTGGGGGGATGGGAGGGTGGGGAGAGGTGTCCCTCAGCCTGGCCTGTGCCTTCTCACAGTCTGGGAGCCCCACGATCAATCGCCCCGCAGAGGGAGGCCCCACCCACCCGCCACAGCCCCCTGGTTGGTGGCCTGGACCTCCCTCTGTGGAGACAAATTGCATCGCACCCACCTTGGCTGGCCTGTGCCAGTGGGTGTCATAGTGTGGTCATCCAGACGGTTGTTCAACTGTTCAGCCATTTGGTCGATTTGCATATTATGCTTTTGTTATTATAGATTTTTTTTGAGGAGTAGGAATTCTGTATTTTTCTTATTGATAGCTGAGCATCCATTCTGTTTCTTCTTTTATTTCCATTTATCTCTCCATGTAGTAATACTTTCATTGGGGAGATAGTGAAATCCTGCTGTGTGACCCAGTGTGGGAATGTGATAAAAAGGGCTGGGGAAATTAGCTCTTTGTACCTGGGGTCTTGGTGTTGGTGTCTGTCATAAGAATTGTACCAACCAGAGCATTTCCATGGAGAACATAACTGAAGGTGAGGAAGCGGGTGGCCTTGTGTGCAGGACGGGTCTGTTACCGCCTTCTCTGTGGAGGTGAACAGCCAGTAGTGTTCCAGGTACCACATCCACCTCTCTGATCTCCCGCCCTCTCAGCTTGCCTTCAGAAATCTTGCTGAAGATTCTGTCCTACCTGGATGCCACGACCCTGCTGTGCACAGGATGTGTGAACAGGCGCTTTTATCACCTGGCCAATGACAAGTAAGGAGAAAGGCAACTGTCTCTGTTATGTTTAGATGGAGGTCCTGAGAACTAGTAAGGCCGTTTTAACCAGTTTTTTAAAACTTAAAAAAATTAACTTCAAGAGTATTTTTGGGCATACTATTTCAGATGCTTTACATACTTGTATGATACTTTCAAAGATTTGCATTTCTGTGCTTAAGGAAGGATGATTCTTTGCATGAACTGAAAAAGCTCAACCCTGGTATTGGTGTGGCCATTGGAGCAGGTGGCGTTTGGTGTGCTGGCCAGGAGCACCTGCTGTGTCCCTAGAAGAACACAGACTTCCCACAGTTTCAGGCAGCATGGGCTGGGCCTGAGTGGTCCTGCCTGGGTTTGCAGGATGGTGGTAGTGTGCTGTGCTGGCCAGCAAGCAGATCCTGAATAAGGAAGAGGGAGGGGCCCTTCCCACTCTCTTGGAAGTTGTCCTTTAAAAATATGAGCTTCTGATGAAATTACTCTCACATATTTTTCTGTTCCAAAGGATAATCTTAATTGCATAAGTTGACTTACATTTATAAGTGTCATGGTCAGTCTTCATTAAAAGGATATATTAAGAATTGAATGGGTAAACAATAAATGTTTTTGGAAAGTTAAGGGTATTTTCTAAGCATTGCTTCTGAAGAGAGAACAGGAGCACATACTGTAGCCAGTTACACTGGTGACTCCTGGGGGACACGTTTGAAGGAGGTCTCCTTGGAGCCTGTAACATCCATGGGGCTGCCTCCCTGCCTCATGTGTCGAGCCCACAGCATGAGCAACAGTCTCCCCATGGTTCCCTGAAACACGGATCAGCTGCCTCTGCCTCATTACTCGGGGTTTTGTTTTCCAGTACTCTGGGAAACACTGACATTCAATTGGCCCCCTTTTCTGAACAACTCATTTGAAGGTTTGTGTCTGACTAGGAGTGAGATTAGATAAACAAGCTTTGGCCTCAAATTCTCCATAGCATTTTAATAGGATGGAGTGTTTGCAATCAAGAGGTGAATGTACTCGGTTTTGGAGACTGGTAAAAACATCTTAAATGTGATCTTTGTATTTTATAAATAATCAGTCTACACAATACTTTAATTCTAGAAGATGCTTTTATTCTCTTTAGGCTCCTCTGATGATAAATTGGGTAAGATAGCATGGGACAGTGGTCTATCCTATGAGTGTCAGGCATAGACATTGTCACTGGAGGTGTAAGAGGTCCACCCTCTGCCGAAGCCGGTTTGGCTCAGTGGATAGAGCGTCGGCCTGCGGACTGAAGGGTCCCAGGTTCGATTCTGGTCAAGGGCATGTACCTTGGTTGCGGGCACATTTCCGGTGGGAGATGTGCAGGAGGCAGCTGATCGATGTCTCTCTCATCGATGTTTCTAACTCTCTATCCCTCTCCCTTCCTCTCTGTAAAAAATCAATAAGATATATTTAAAAAAAAAAAAAGAGGTCCACCCTCTGCTTCCCCTATTTGTGCCAGTGTTTATTTTTGTAGGTGTGAGTGCCAGGGCAGGTACAAAATAGAGTCAAACTTATGAGTTGAAAACAAAAATACTTCAAGGCAAAAAGTTTGGCATGAAATGATTTTGTGGGGTGAGAAGTTACTTGAAAAGCCCCATCTAGAAAGAAGTGTCAGGGGGAGTCTGACTGTGTGAGTGTGTTGAGATATCCATGGAATGTCTTGATCCAGGAGGCGAGTTCCCAAGTCAGATGTCTGAGAAGTGCTTCTGTCTGCTGTGGTTGTCACTGAGTGCCCGAAGCAGTCACTCCCCTCTGGGCCCATGTGTCTCCCGCAGCCCTCCTGCCATCCAGGGTCTTCTGGTCTATAGGGGAATCGCCTTCTGCCCGCTGCCTCTTGGCCACTGGCCTTTTCATCCCTTTCTGCACTAAGTAGAATGTGGAGACATAAATCAGCAAATAATTACATTTATTGATGTGCATGTCACCTTTTACATTAAGAAATAGATTTTAACCTCTGTCTCAGTCTCCCCTAAGAGCAGTTTATTTCTCTTCTCTGAAGCAGAGCACTGGCTGGGAGAGAGGTGCCAGGCCTGGCTTTGGCCCCCACTAACAGCACTGCTCCTGTGGCTTCTCGTGGCCTCCAGTGGAGTTGGAGGACCACAGACTCTGGGTCACAGATGAATTTAAATTCCAGAGTTGCAGCTAATCAGTCCTCTGTATTTGGATCAGTTATTCCATTTCTTTGAGCGCCTTTTTGGTGTTATTGAAGAGGCCATGAAGCGGGGGCTGAGGGTGTGAGCTCGGGTGGAAGCTCTGTGGATTCAGTCCTGGTTCCACACTGACTCCCGTTCACAGACCCGGGCCAGATCCCTACTTGTCTGGGCCTCAGTTTCACTGTCTGTTTAATGGGGACGGTGGTTGCAGCTCTCCCATGGATTTTTTGTAAGGATGAAATGAATTTATGTACAGAGTGCTGAAGCAGTACTTACACATAGTGCTCTACAGTGGTAACTGTCATTGTTAGTTATCAGTACTCTCCACTTTCTCTGTGCAAGCAGCTCATATTCACTGCTGAAAATTAAGACTTAGAAAACAAAAAGAACATGCAGGACAGTTGGTGTTGATATTTCTGTGTCTGTATGTATATACACATCTCCTTTCTGTATACACTTCTTGCTATTTTTCCCTAGTCAATCTCCTCCTCAGTTATTGGTATAGGAAGGCCGTGGTGTGGATGATCCCAATGTCATGCACTCACTCATTTTAACCTAATCCCGGGAACAAGCTTTGCCTTCTATAAGAGTTTCTAGGGTTGGTGAACCTAGAATACTTATCTCAGACTTCAGTTCACCTCGACACGCAGAACTCTCAAGTGTTCAGCTGGACACATTGCTGGAATTAGATAAGTTAAAAATTATTGTGCATCTTCAAATTAATATATTACAAGAACAGGTAATGGCAGTGTTTTTTAGACTGTTTATTGCTTCCCTCTTTCCCCCCAGTTTTATTTGGATCAGAATCTATTCAACTGCCTTTTCACCTAAGAGATGTAACTGGAGAATTGATCCAGTAGAGAAGACAGTCGCGTCTATGAAGGCACTGTCAGTTGAGGACAAAGAAGCTGGATATTGGAAGAAGGAATATATCGCAAAACGGATAGCCTCTGTGAAAGCAGCTCTAGCTCAGGTCCTCAAACTTGTCAACCCCTACACAGGCCTCCCGGCCAAAACCAAGGAGGCCCTCAGGTACGCACGCTTCTCTTGCAGCAGGCGCCGCGCTTTCATGAGTGCTGCTGACCTTGAAGAAGAACGATGGTGTAAGCTCAGACGATCGTGTGCCTGGGACATATGTGCACTTTATATTGTGAAGACCTGTCTCTTGATATTTGTGTGTGTTTCTGTGCATGTATAAAATATATAGTATTTTCCTACTCCGTGCAAGTGGTCTCGAGTTTTTACGAAGAGCAGAAATAACCCAGTTCTATGCTCTGGTAAAGCAAGGGTATCTGAGGTATTTCTCCTGGGCAGGACCTTTATTTACTTATTTTATTACTTACCTATGTATCGCCAGTACTGAGAACACAGCTGTTCCTTAGCTGAGGAGAAAATGTTTAAAGGGAGAACTGTTGGGGCATGGAAAACTCACGTCGGGCACATTCTGAGAACTTTGACATTAGTGTTAGGGAAGTGGTTGCTTTAGAGATGATAAGTGAAATAGACTAGTATTTTTTTTTTTCAATGAGGCCAACATTGTTAGCTTGCTTTTATTTCTCCAGAATATCCGGTCTCGGTTGGGTAATCATATTGAAAGAAAAAAATGGGAAAGAACATGTCATGGAGCATGCTGACCTTTTCATAAACCACTCCTCTGTCATGGTCGTGTGGTATGGCAAAAATTGGCCCTGTCTGGCTACACTATCAACCTTAGACTTGTGCGGTGTGACGCCAGTCTTGATGGACTGGCATAAACCCCCCACCAAAAATGGGTAAGTACTAATTCAGCACAACTTTTGAGTGAGAACATCTTATATGGAAATACTGTTGGCATCACTTTGTAATTTAAAAACACCACCAGTGTATTTTAATTTGATTGTGCCCTAAAGACTTCTCTTTTATCCTGGGTCACTATAGGATAGGAAAAGAATAGGATTATCACAGTGTGATTAGATTCCTCTTCTCTTGGTTATCTAAAATGGTTAGGGAATGACATTGTAGTTAACAAAATTTCCTGGACGATAGAACACAATCAAGAATCCACTTGATTGTGGCCGTGTGCTGGGTGTGAGGGTGCTGGGTGAAGGCTTCTTCCTCTCCTCCCCTCCTTGATTCTTCAGCTTCTGCTGGGGCCAAGGAGCTGCCAGCAGGAGCCAGCGGGAGGGAAAGGAAAACATGGGTGGGGCAGAAATTTGGGTGTGGCCATTTTGCCTTTGATTTATAATGTTGTTTGTGTCCCTTGCTCCTCAACATGCCACTTATTAGCAATGTGCACATTATTAGCATGTTCTTCCAAAGCTGTTTTAGGTACACCAAAAACAGTCACAAACGGTGGACATGAGAGCTCACTTCTCTCTTTCCTTTCTTTGACATGCGTTGCAAAGACCTCGATGGCCTTCTCTAATTGCAAAGTACAGTCTGAGTAACTTAACTGACTCCACCTTGGTTGGCTGTGACAGATTCGTTAGGATCTTCCATCTGAACCCAGGCCTCCTGGTGGGGCTGTGGAAGGTAAGACTTGGGCAGCCTCGTGGGCTGTGACATCCCTCCCTCCCTCTCAACCCCACGTCCACTCGCATGGGTGGGACATCATGTGTGCAGTCCTTTCAGACTTCTCATGAGCTGCATTCCATTTTATTATCTTACCAGCTTCATTTTGTAGCAAATGGTCCTCGATTCCATGGAGGGTCCTTCCTATTCTCACAGATGATAGGCTACCTTTACTATCATGGGATGTCCTGTCCTCTCCAGGCAATCCATGTTCCTTTCTCTTTTTCTGGGTCCTTTCTTGTCAGTCTCTGTCTGTGCCTTTGGCCCGGGAGTCGCTCCCACATGTTCCTGACCCTGTGGATGTGGCAGTGAGTGCGTCTGCCCTCCAGGGAAAGGTGTAGGCTCTTTCCTCCCACCAGGCGAGGTTTCTTCATTCATCAGTCAGGCCAAAGGCCAGCTCCCTCCTCGGGGCTTGTTTTTGGGGCAGTCACTTCCATGAGAAGCATCTGTGCAATGTTCCCCTGTTCACCATGGGTTCCTCGGTGGCTTTGGCCCATGGATGTTTTAAGGTAGCAGTTCCTAAATTTTAATTCAGAGAACTTGGTGTGTGTTCGTGTAGGCAGACTCACCGGGACCGGACTTCAGTGTCTCTCTCTGCTACCTCTTTCTCTTCCCAACCTGCCTGGCTTCAGAGTCTCTCTCTCCCTGACTCTGGGCGAGGCGGTTGGGGGCAGGGCTGCAGTTTGCCTGACTGGAATCCACCTATCTCTGTGGGCCTGTGGAGTTACGGGGACTCTGGCTGATCCAATTGGCCTCTGTCTGGCCACTGGGTCACCTGCACCAGGCAGTGTCACCTGTGAGTTTGGGGAGGAATGGGTATCAGTTCCTTGTACAGTCCCATTTTCTGGGTCCCCAACCTGATGAATGAATGAGTGAAGAGCTGGAATCTAACTGTCCCCACTGGGTTTGTCTAGCCAAGCAGGTACTCGAGAGAGGAAGGCCATGCCAGGAACGTTAGGTATTTGTGGAATTGATCTCATGTTTGTGCAGTTCTTCCCGGAATAGTCTTTATTTTTGCAAAGAGCGTGAGACAACCTGGAACTAACAAGACCTGTTTCCACAGTTACCATGTGTAGTACAGTATTTTGCTATTTCACCAATATAAGGATGAGCCTCCTTTTACTGCACGCTCTGTGTGTCTGGGTGAGTCGTGGCCCTGCTGTCCATGTGACACATTCCTCTTACTAAGATGGTAGCACTAACAGTGCCTCAGCCCGAGGTCAGCTTACAGTTGAGGGTCTGCCTTTGTCTGCAAGGCGATGTGCTGTGAACTTCACCACGACCTTGGGAAAGATTAAAACATTTCAGCTGAAAAGTGCGTTCTTACTAATTAATGTTTCAGAGAGCGGAAGAGCTGGCGTTCGTCATGGCCAATCTGCACTTCCATCACCTCGTGGAGAAGAGCACGTTGGGCTCGGCCGCCCTGTACGTAACCGTCCATTGTGCATTTAGTTTTTGTAAAGTTAACACAAACAATTATAAGTTGATACATCTTAATATTCTGAGAATAGCTACAAAGATATTCTGTTCTTAATCAGCAGACACAAGCCCACAGGCATAATTACTGAGCTGTTACTGAGATAATTGGATTATTCATGAGTGCACATTTGCTTTATCTGTTCTGGGTTAAGGATTCTGTGCCTTGTAGAACATTATTTATAGGGCAGGTACCTACACTGCTGAAAGATGCAGTATGTCCTGGTGCCTCACACTGCACTAACGTGAGCTCTCATACCTTGGGAGGCTCGCAGACCCACGGTCTCTGGCTGAGTCCGGCCTGCAGGTGTTTGCTTGGTCTCTGCAATGTGGGCCTTTCAATGAATGTGAGGGTGTTCAGGTAGGGAACATGCTTTCCATTTCGCTACAGATGTCTCACTTCTAAATATTCCCTGAGAAGCTTTGAGTGCTCTTGTTACCTGTGTAGTACAGCTTCTTGTATTGAAGAATACTTTGCTCATTGTGGCTCTGGGTCTTCTGCCCAGGTCCCTAACCTGTGGGGCTGTTGTAGGTGTAGTCATAGGTGCGCAGGTGCTTTAACGCGGGGCAGTGAGCACAGTGCTGAGCCACTGAGGAGCGGAGTTGCTGCCCTGGGTGGTCTGTGAATCCCGGCGGAGCTCACATCTCTGCCTGTCTTTTTTAATGTGTGTTAATCCTCATCCAAGGATTATTTTCCCATTGATTTTTAGAGAGTGAACAGGAAGGGGAGAGACAGAGAGAGAAAAACATTGACATGAGAGAGAGAGACATCAGAGTGGCTGCCTCCTGCCCAGGACCCTTCAGTCCGTGGGCCGATGCTCTATCCATTGACCCAAACTGGCTAGGGCTCTGCCTGCTTTTATAGAAGTTGGTAGGAGGAGCAGGGGGCATGGAGTTCCTGGTGTTGGAGGTTATTGGGGTTCCTGCAGGGGATTGATAGGGCTGGTGCTTTGAATGTATGCTAGCTTTTTAAAGAGTATTTTCTTTCTGGTATTGACAAATTCGTGTGTGTTTTGTTTTTCTTTTTAGCCCCTATGAGCTGCCTCCTCACATCCCCCTTTTGGATGACAGCCCTGAGTACGGGCTGCATGGCTACCAGCTCCACGTGGACTTACACAGCAGCGGGACCTTCTACCTGTGCAGCACATTTCGCAATCTCTTTACCAAGCAAGGTGACACTGAGTTTCTGTTGCAGTTTGAAATGAAAAGGTTGGGGAGTACATGGGACCCAGTTTTGTATCTGAGTTAAGAAGTGCCCTCCTACCTGGCCGCTTCGCCTTTCCAGACCCCTGTGTCACCCGAGGACTTGTGAAGGGCCCAGGCAGATCTGATCCCTTTAGCTCCGGCTCTGTCTCCACCTTCTTTCTCCTCTTCCTCCTGAACATCCTCCACTCATCTTGTGTGCTGGTACTTTCCTTATCGTTTGTCTCACCGCATTCCCTCTTTTCACTTCATTGAGACTTATTTTATGGCTCAGAATACAGATTATGTTGGCACATGCTCCACTTGTCCTGAGGGAGAATGTATGTTCTGGTTGGGTGGGGTGTCATCAGTGTCAGGATCAGGAAAAGGTGGTCGAGAGTGCTGAAGTCTACTGCGTCCTTGCTGATTTTCTGCCTGCTGGTCTTGCAGTCATGGAGAAAGGAATATTGAAACCTCCACGTATAATTGTGTATTTCTCATTGATGCTCTCTCCATTCTGGCTACTAGTACTTCTAGTCTGAAGCTCTGTTATTTCATTCATAGGCATTGAAGACTGTTATGTCCTCTTGACTGATGGGCCCTTTTATCATTTATGAGGCAACCTTCTTTATTCCAGGTGGTAGTTTTGTTGTGAAATCTATTCCACCTGATAAATACAAGCATTCCAGCTTTATTTTGACTAGTGCTAGTATGATGTGTTTTGCCTCCTTTAAACCCATTTATATCTATGCATTTGGTCACTGTGCTTCTTCAGTCCCTTATGATATATGGCAACCCATCCCACTTTTCATGCTATTTATTTGTTGAAGAAATGGAATCTATTATTTGTCTATACAATTTCTGCATTTTGGATGGTTGCTTCTAGTATTAACATGTTTCTCTAGCTGATAAGATTTAGGTTTTTCCTTTTTCTTTGGCAAGAATCCTTCATAGATGATGCTCTGTACTTCCTATTGAATTTATCAGAAGGATGTAGTATCTGCTTTTCTAAATATTAATTACATTAAGAACAATCAGTGGGTTCAGGGAATTCTCAGACTAGTCTTTTTATTATGACTTTCTCCATGATATTTACCAAATGGTTTACCAAGTAATGGGAACCTGTGTTCATTTACTTTTATTAGTGATTGTAAAATGATGATTCCCTGGTTGTAGTGTTCTTTCTATATTTATTAGCTAGGATTTTTCTGAAAGAAGAATTTTCTCTTATCAGCCATTTAGTTAACATGAAATATGTTAGTACAGGAAAGGCAGGGGACATGCTTGATTCTTTCTCCTTATTAATTTACAGAATAGTGAGTTAATGTTTCAGCAGTCTTCAAAGATAACTTGTAAGTTTTTTTTGGAGGTATTGTTAAAAAATGTCATTTATGTGTTTTAGTCTACTTGCACTCTTTATTCTTTTAATTATTACTGTGCTCTGCTCCTGTTTTTTTGTTTTTTTGTGTTTTGACATGGCTCCAGTCATCCTTGGCAGCTTGATTGCATTCTAATATGATAAGATTGCTCAGGCTTATCTCGTCTGTTTCCTGCCCAGACTGGAATGAGTAGATACCCTGGTTCCCTTTAGTTCATGCTACACTGTGTATTTAGAGACCATAGTCTGGATCCTAGAGCTGCATGGTACTCTGGGGTTTTCATTTATTTTAGGGTTTTCAATAGACAGAGCTAAGAAGTTTATCCTATATAATAAAGAGGCAATATGCAAATTGACCATCACTCCAAACACACAAGATGGCCGCCCCCATGTGGACACAAGATGGCCGGCAGAGGAGGGCTGTTGGGAGGGACCAGGCTTGAAAGGGAGGGCAGTTGTGGGCGATCAGGCCGGCAGGGGAGGGCAGTTGGGGGTGACCGGCCTGCAGGGGAGGACAGTTGGGAGGGACCCAGGCCTGCAGGGGAGGGTAGTTGAGAGGGACAAGGCCTGTAGGGGAGGGCAGTTGTGGGGGGGGCAGACCTGCAGGGGAGGGCAGTGGGGGGGACCAGGCCTGCAGGGGAGGGAAGTTAGGGGCAATCAGGCCAGCAGGGGAGCAGTTAGGTGTCGATCAGGCTGGCAAGGGAGTGGTTAGGGGGTGATCAGGCTGGCAGGCAGAAGTGGTTAGGGGCCATCAGGCAGGCAAGCAGGCAGGCAGGCGAGCAGTTGGGAGCCAGCAGTCCTGGATTGTGAGAGGGATGTCCGACTGCCTGTTTGTCAGACATCCCTTGAGGGGTCCCAGATTGGAGAGGGTGCAGGCTGGGCTGAGGGACACACTCCCCCCATGCATGAATTTCGTGCACTGGGCCTCTAGTAGATTTATAATGTGAAGAAATAAGTCATGCATTTACTTAAATTAAATATCTTAGAAGTTTTTAATGAACTTCTTAGATTATATATTTGCATATTTTTTCTTAGGCTGAAAGTCTTTTATAAACAACATCACAATATATAATAACTTCAAAAGAACAAAACCGATATTGCTAATAATGAACCTATTGAATACTCTCTAAATTAAGGATTTCCTTGTGGTCCTTCATGTACTTAAGATATCTATATATATAACAGCCTAAGTGACCATCCAACCCTTCAACCGTTTGACTGGTAGCTATGACATGCAATGACCACCAGGGAGCAGATACTCCGACCAGTAGCTATGACATGCACTGACCACTAGATGCTCAATGCAGGAGCTGCCAAGCTGAGGTGACTTGGCAGCTATGGTTCTTGAGTGATGCACCAGGAACTAGAGAGGAGGGAGTCCGATTTCAGGATGTGTCACCTGAGAACTGCCCTCTCACAGTCTGGGACCCCTCAGGGGATGTCCACAGGCCAGGCCGAGGGACCCTATCAGTGCACAAATCTGTGCACCAGGCCTCTAGTATTACACTAGAGATATAAAATTAAGTCACCTAAAGTAATCTTTCTCTGCTTTGGTGTGCTACCACTTTGATATGCAAGTAGTGATTTGTTTCAGTTGATTTTTTATTTTTCAAGATTGCTTTGCTATTTTTCTACATGAAAACAATTACCACATTTACATGGTTCCAAAGTTGAAAGTCTAAAACAAGGTGGTTCAGTGAGGTTTACGGGTACCTTTCCCCTTGACCCCTATTCTTTCCCTCCCTCCAGAGGTGACCCTTTATAGTCGTTTTTGGCTCATTCTTTAAATGTTTCTCTTTGAATACATAACGCTGTACACAAATATATTCATATTTTTCCCAGTTTTTAAAAAATGAAGCACGTTACTCCCTTTTAAGTTCCTTGCTTTCCCCCCAATTAATAATATATTCTGCAGATTATTCTTCAGCATGAGGGAGAGATCTTTCTTGTGCTCTTTTTAAACAGGTACATTGAGAATAAAATGAAACGGCTGTGTAGGGTTGTGTTGATTGTTTCTCTCCATGGTCCCCAGTCGTTGCTGTTACACATAGTGGTATAGGGACTGGCCTTGTTCACACTTCACTTCATAGTCTGCCAGCTTGCCTTGGGGAGCCTTTCTTAGAAATAGGATGCTAGGTCAAAGGGTGAATGCACATATATTCTTGAGAGACACTTGCAAATCCCCCTTGATAAGGTTGCAACATTTTGTATTCCCAACTTAATAGGGATATTATGTTAATAAAGTGTTTTATTCCTAAGTAAGTTTGTTCTAGGTTTTTAAAATATATTCTTACAAGTTAAGGTGTTTCTATTTCTAGATTAGTTGAAAAAAATTAAAAGAAATATTTCTGTTGATTTATAGAGAGAGAGGAAGGGAGAGGGAGAAAAAGAGAGAAATACAGATGTGAGAGCAGAACATCAATCGCCCACCAGGGATCAAGCCCTCAATCTCGGGCATGTGCCCCGACTGGGTAACTGAACAGGCAATCTTTCTGTTAATGCTAATAAACCTCTGGGAACATTAGATGTTGTTATGACACACAGGGTACTAAGTGAAATGAAGGACAATGGAAACCGAGATGGGGATAATTCACCTTTGTCTGCTGTCTTCACAGTAAAAACACATTTTCACCCTAAGAAGACTTTACAGGAGATTGAGGTGTGTTTCCTAGGCATGTGGTTCTATGGTCAGGAGTCAGCAGAGGGCGCTGTTGTCATCAGAGTCACTTCCAAGGTTAGAAAAGTACAACTGGAGTGTCTTCTGCAGTCTTTTGTGGTTTCATATGGCATATTTAGCAAACTCTGGCTCTGCCAGTGCAGTTGGGCATGACAGCACTTCATCCCTGTTTTTAAAGAACACTTTCTCTCTATCAAGGGGAAACAGGTTAGCATCATGTTTCTGGAATTGAGGTGGCACTGTCTATTGTTTGTCGCCAGTGAGCTGTGAGAAACCTGGCTGACTTCAAGGTGGCTGTCTGCAGGAAGTGGTGGGAAATCATTCATTAACAACCAGCTGTTGAATGCAGGGACTGTGCACAGTGAAGGGGGACAGATATGTGGCAGACACAGCCTGCCTGCCCTCCACAGGCCGGGGTAAGGGAGCCTGCTGAGCCAGGTTCCAGGCACCTGGGGAGGGGAAGTGACTCTCAGGATTCCTGGATGGTTCTGAGGAAAGGGGGGAACGGCGTCGATCTGACTCAGTGGGAGACACTCAGAGGCCAGCATCCCTGTGCCCGGTGCTGTCCTCGTCCACCTGAGCCTGTAGCTGAGGCTCTTGCCTTAGACTCCAGCATTGGTCTGGTGGGTTCAGTTCCCTGGCTGGGGACCACCTGCATGGCGTGTGTGTGTGTGTGTGTGTGTGTGTGTGTGTGTGTGTGTGTAGATCAGGTCCTCATTTCCTAACAGATCTCCTGACCACCTGGCAGTGTCCCCCTCAGCTGGCCACTGTGTCCAGGAGCAGGCTTTTCCTCCTCCGATGTTGAATAAAAAGGTTCCCTGTCCTTTCTTCTCTCCCCTAAGGTTCATTTGACTGTTTCTCCTTGCACCTTTGCTTAGTCCTCCCCCAAGACCTGGGGTGTTTTCTCTTTGTACTCCTATGTATTCTGCCACCTG